CCCTTCCCAGTCAAACAGCAGCTGAATGGCAGCCCGCTTACCTACAGCTACAACTTCCGGCCACTGACCTTCTCCTTGGCAGGCATATTTTTTTACTCTGACTCCACCCTTTCACTGAATTACAGGGTCTGACCAGGGGATAATGCTTCTCTTTAGATCATAATGTCCACAAATCATGACAGAAATAATATTTTAGTATAAAGATTGATGTTTAAAAAGGAATTGTAGGGGACCGGCCAAGGACCAGCCAAGGGCCCATCAAGGAAAGTTTTCATGGCTACTACTGTAACAGTCGGCTCAGTAGGCTGTTATTACTGATTAAATCCTAATCCTAACCCTAACGTAATTCCTTTTTTACCTGCAGTGTAAAAAAGTTAATCTGCATGTTGCTAGGGTGGCCATTTCTATAGCACCAAAAAGGAGGACATTGTGCGGCATATCAATAAATTACTAAGGTGTACATAAGAATCAGGTAAAGTCACATTTATAGCACAATTCTTAGTAGTTTAAAGAGGATGCTTGTGTAGCTGAATAGAACAAAATATTAAAGAAATGTAAAAAAGAATTGGTTCCCAGCATTTGTATTTATTTAATACATTGTGGTGTTTAAAAAGTGACCATTTTTTAACACGATTAATTTGCGCAGAACTGCTGCAATTGATCATAAAGCAGTTGTTTGGAAAAGAAGCTCGAGAAAGAGCTAGAGAATAGGATGATGCAAACTGCAAAAAGTGGCTGGAAAAGAGGAATTCATGACATGGCTGCAGCCTGTCGAGAGTAAAGATGATTTCACCATGTTCTCTATCTATCCATATCTATATCTATATATATATATATATATATATATATATATATATATATATATATATATATATATATATATATATATATATATATATATATAAACTTGAGTCATGGAACTGTGCTTACAGCTCCTTATTTCATGTAAACTAATAACTTGTGTACATGATACTTGTTGATGGCATTAAAATTATTTCATATAGCATTAAAAGAGCATTAAATTAGAGTTCCTCATTCCTGTATAAAACCTGTGAACGCTTAATTTAATCTGACATATTAAAAAAATCCCCATCATCATCCAGCAGATGTTCAGTTTCTGCTCAAATATTTTCTTTCTGTTGTGGATTTTTGTAACAGGGATAACTAAGATCATACATAGTTTGTATGAACTCTGTTTATTCTCTGCTTCCAAACTCATCATCTCTTCATCCATTCCTGCAATAAGAATTTTCTTTTAAAGTTGTGAGATTCACTCTAGAATCTCACAACTTCTTCCTGGTCTGTTGAAGCACCAATAGTCTGCATCCAATTATTTAATTATTTGCTCTTAGTTTTTGGGAATATATACAAACTATGCTCTAATTTCTAGATACCGATCTGTTTTTACTATAATTTAATTTGACAAACCGGGTCTTCTCTACATTCTTTTTTCTGTTTGGTACAATTGCAATAGCGGGTCTTGATCTGGACGGACCGGAGGGGAGCAAAAAATAGCTCAGCTCCGTATTTTGACGGTGAAGGACGGAGAAGACGTACGTGGGCGGTGACGAGCGGAGGATGTGGAACAGCTCTCATTGATTTACATGACAGACAAGTACTCTGCACGACGTACGTGAGCGGGGCGGAGCGCTGACGGAGTATGTGGAATCTGGGGGTAAAGGAGGACAAATACACGTCCGGCTGGGTGCAGCGCCGGACGCCAGACAGTGCAATGAAAATCCGGACTGTCCGCCCTAAAGCCGGACATCTGGCCACCCTACATGTTGCTCATATCGAACAACCCCTCCCAAAGCACTTTATATTCTGTCAACTGAGTTGCTTTTAAACACCACATTAAATCAATGTGATTGAGAGGTGGGTAATTTACTCCAAGTAAAGTTTCAAAACCCATTTAAACAAAAGAAGGTTGGTTGTATATAAAATAGATTTAAAAAAGTATAAAGTAGTTAAATAGAAAGTGAAACTTGAGGTTTTAGATTTGGCCAAAGCGACTGTTATCAGTGATAAGCCTCACATTATCAGCCATTAGAAACCTACTAGAAGGTAGAGTAGGCACAATCTGAGCCATTCAATAGGACTGACACATCCAATAATGGCCATTGAAGCGTGTGGTTAAAAAGGGTTATAGGATGCCTACAAAAAAGATCCAGTCAAATAGCTCAGTTTTGCTAGCTCAAATGTTAGCCAATGCATCACAACTCAAGACGTGGCATTTCCTGAATATCACAGGCGGGGTTTTTCTTTTTCCTCTTGGTAACACCTTCAATGATTTCTCATGTATGTCATATATTGGGGCCATGTAGTAAATGGCAAATGGCCTGTACTTATATGTGCTTTTTCAAGTTAGGAGACTTGACCAAAGAGCTTTACACTACATTCAGTCATTCACCCATTCACGCACACACTCACACACTGATTGTGGCAAGCTAAATTGTAGCCACAGCTGCCCTGGGGCTCACTGAGAGAAGCGAGGCTGCCGTACACTGGCGCCACGGGGCCCTCTGAACTATTAGTACCCTATTAAAGGAATAGTACACCCAAAACATGATTAGCCTTCATTTTCTACTCACCCCCATGCTGAACAACACTCTGGAGTACTTTTTTGATATCTCAAATGCATCTGGAGATCTGGGAGGCTTCTTGCTGTCTGCTGACATTCAAATAATGGAGGTCCATGGTGCCCGAGACAGAAAAGTCCATAAAAGTCCACAAAAAACGTGTCAATATTCCTCCATACTGCTCGTCCAATGTATTCCAAGTGTCCTGAGTGGGTAGCATCCAGAATTTACTCGAAACGAAGTCATTTAGAATGTTTTTAGAGCATAAACAGTAGTGTATAGGATTTCCTGAAAACGCGCACATGCGCGTTCACGACGCTACGGAAGCCGGCAGGCCAAACCAGATGAAAGTGCGCATTCAGCGTCTGCTCTGCCAATAATGCAAGCGTAGAAGAAGAAATGTGCTGTTTACCTGTGCAAAGAAAGAAACAACGAAAGAAAAATGTCTGAGGACTTCAGTGTTGAGGAAGAGCATGAGTTCTTTGCCGAGCTGAATGCGCACTTTCATCTGGTTTGGTCTGCCGGCTTCAGTAGCGTCGTGAACGCGCATGTGCGCGCTTTCAGGAAATCCTATACACTACTGTTTATGCTCTAAAAACATTCTAAATGACTTCGTTTCGAGTAAATTCTGGATGCTACCCACTCAGGACACTTGGAATACATTGGACGAGCAGTATGGAGGAATATTGACACGTTTTTTGTGGACTTTTATGGACCTTTCTGCCTCGGGCGCCATAGACCTCCATTATTTGAATGTCAGCAGACAGCAAGAAGCCTCCCAGATCTCCAGATGCATTTGAGATATCAAAAAACTACTCCAGAGTGTTGTTCAGCATGGGGGTGAGTAGAAAATGAAGGCTAATCATGTTTTGGGTGTACTATTCCTTTAATCTATGTAACATGTTAAACATGTATGAAGTAAAGCTGCTCATAGGAATATTTATTAAGTGTGTACCTTTTCGTCAGAAACCCAACACCATACCTCAAAGCTCTGGAGTCAAGAGCTCCTGAACATTCCTAATGTTATTATAACAGAAACTAAGCTGCCACCACACTCCTAGAGGATAGTGATGGAAACAGTGCAACTAGTGCAGAGCAACACTATTTTAATGTAAACAGAATTGATTTAAACAATTACACTTCAAAGTTAAATTAATTCCCATAGACCAGCTACACATGAGGCTAGAGACAATTACATCCCATATAATAGTTTATTTACTTAATTAAAACATGCTGCTTTATTCAATATAAAAATGCTAATAGAAAAACTGAAAAAATAAAAAAACATTGTTACTCACACACAAAAATAGAGACACTCGCATAACTCAACTTTGATTGTTCTGGATCCGACAGAATGGTTCCAACACACACACATCCAGCAATAAAAATACAGAAATATTGTCTTAAACCAGAAGAATGACCAATTGCCCCCAGAAGGGACCATCACAACCAAAGCCGGTTGTTGGCCTGTAGAAATTAGCATAGAAAACAACAGACAATTCAGTTTACATATATCCAAATTGACACAGATCAAATAAATTAAATCATAGTGATAAAAATAAAAATTACAGCTATTTCTATGCAGTACTAGCTTTTGTGCCAGCAATAATTATCAAACCTGGAGGTGAGAGAAATACAGTAGGCTACAGCACTAGCATGAGGGATTGTTGGTGAATTAATAATATCAGTCTATTGCCCAGGGCAAGCCCAAACCACTATTACAGGGTGACAGACTGGGAGCCCTAATGGCAGGACTCTAGTGACAGCCAACAGACATGGATTGACAGTAGAAACAAAAATCCCCAAGTCTTGCATGCAAGACTCTGAAATGTCTGTTTCTGGCTATCTTATGAAATGAAAGACTTGGGCTGTCTTATCAAAGTGTGTATGATAAACCATTAAAAACAGCAGATGTAATTTAGATGTTGGTTTTCAGGTTAAATCTGGTTAGTCTGTCATAGGCTTAATTTAGTCCAAAAATATTTTTTGAAAATTGGGTTGTGTTTTGTCGGTCTGATTTTGTCCAACTGTAGTCCAATAATGGACATTTTGAAGATTACCGCTTTTCATCCTTCAATTAGGTTTTGTTTGGACTTAAATCATTTCGTCTTTACAATGTTTTTTTAACCAATTTGTATGAATTGAGTTTAAGGTAGGTTGGTATGTTGGAAAAGTTGCATTTCATTCAAACATTAACAAGAAGAAAAGTAAAGAAAAGGTAACATTGAGTAGAAGCTTCTACATGACAGTTTTAAGAAAGAATTTGGCCATATAAGGAGATGAAAAAAAAACTCTATTACATCTCTACAGGTTAAATTAAACAGCTTACACATGAACACTTAGGAGGGGGTGGAGAAAATGTAACAGGATGACAAAAAACAAAAGGTTTTTAGAGTCAAGTGTCTTGTTGTTCCAATAGAGATGATGGAGGAAGATGAACTCTGCTTCCCAGAGTTCTTTAACTCCTCCTGCAGAAAGCTGAATCTTCCTCACATTGAAGTCATCCTCATGCACATTGTGCTTTACTCAATCTCTGTCATCACTGCATTTCTTAACTTGCTGGTCATCATCTCTATTTCACACTTCAGGTACCCAACTATGATTGTATTGCAGTTTTTTACTCTAGCCTTTTCATTTATTGCTAAATTATATAACATCTGAAAACCTAAAGGTATATTTCTGTCCATCCACAGGCAGCTGCATACTACCACCAACCTCCTCCTTCTCTCGCTGGCCATCTCAGACTTCTCTGTGGGCCTTATATTGTTATTTCAAATTGTGCTCATAGACGGCTGCTGGTTTCTTGGAGACATTATGTGTACTGTGTATCAATATTTAGCATATGTTATCACTTCTGCATCAATAGGAACAATGGTGCTCATATCTTTTGACCGATATGTAGCCATTTGTTACCCTCTCCATTACTCCACCAAAATCACACAAGGCAGAGTAAAGATTTGCATCTTTCTATGTTGGATCAGTTCTTGGCTATTTCAAAGTTTGATTCTGTTGGACAACCTCAAACAGCCAGGCAGGTATAACTCTTGTGTTGGAGAATGTGCCTTTGTCATTAGCCATATAGCAGGATATGTGGATCTTGTCTTTTCCTTTATTGTTCCAATTGGCGTTATTGTAGTTTTGTATCTCAGAGTGTTTGTGGTTGCCATATCTCAGTCTAGAGCCATGCGCTCTCACATTTCAGCTGCCCCTCTCCGTCATTTAGTGGTTGCTAAAAAATCCCAAGTAAAGGCAGCAAAAACCCTTGGTCTTGTAGTGTTAGTTTTTTTGCTCTGTATGTGCCCATATTATTGTGTTGCTCTCTCAGGAGAAGATAGCTCTATGAGTGCTTCTTCAGCTGCATTTGTCATATGTTTGTTCTTTTTTAACTCCTGCTTAAACCCCATAATCTATGCCTTTTTTTACCCCTGGTTTAGAAAATCAATTAAGCTCATATTTACCCTTCAGATATTCCAGCACGGCTCCTGTGACATCAATATGCAGTAGTCTGGTTGCTTAAGTTTACATTTTCAATGGAGGATATAAACTGCAGCAAAGTAGAATAATTTTTTGTTCAAACATAGATGGGTTACCCTGTATCAGTCTTTGTATTGTAATCACTATACAACAGAATAAAGAAGCTGTATTTTGATCATATTTTCGTTTAAAATGCACTATTCACCATATCAAGCCCAACCTTACCGTACCTACATTACTCTCATTTAAGTTTAAAAATGTGGGATGTTTTAGATTACACCCTCCTGTGTCAAGTTTTAGCAGGCCTAAAATGAAGTTATTTCTGTGCAGTCTCGATCACTAAATACACAACAGTTGTCATATTTCAAAAATTGTTAAAAAGTAAAAAAAAAAAATAAAAAAAAAGCTCAGTGTGTTAAGATATATTTGATATATTAATGTGGCAGAAAGGTGTTTGTGGTTGATGAAATATGTTAACCCAATATGACTTTCAGCACCTTTGTATGGTTGTATTTACACATTAGAAATGTCAGATTTCTCATGTTCCCTGAGTTTAATAAACATATAACATTAAATAGGCATGAGAGGTGGAGGTGAAGTGTTTGCACTGTACAACTAAGTTTCTGTTAGATACAGTTTTGCATTACATTGAAATGGTTTACCTGACATCCAGAAGGCATCTAGAATTATATTTTTCTGCTATGTTGGCATTTATTTAAACTGAAAAGGTTATGTTTGCCTGAACAAACGTTAGTTCAGTGCTGACCATATTTGCCTCCTAAATATTTATTTTGCTCTGTTTTTGATTTGTGTCAGCCTTAAAAGTTTCAGATCAGGAAATGTATTCTACTATTAGATAACTATAACCACAATAAATGCACATTTTATTAAGAAAAATAAAATATCCAAAGCAACCTTATCTTTAAAGACAAAAGTGATTTTTTTTTAAATCCAATAGCTGGATATGTCCTCTTTAGCTTTTTGAAATGACACCAGCAGTTTGGGTTAACTGGCAATCCCAGTCTTTCCGTCACCACAAGCTCTTGCTCTATTGCTGCAATGCTTTAATCCAGCCACTTAGACTTACACAAACTTTATTGTCATCTTGTATACACAGAATGTAAACAAAACAAAAATGTGATGCATACAGCAACAGTGAATGAGCAGCTTACAGCAGCTTACAGCAGTGAAATGAAAATTACCATTTATAAAGCGCAGCACTGATAGAATAGAATAGATTAAAAAATCCTTTTATTGTCCCACAATAGGGAAATTCTGGTGTGAATGAAAACGGTGTAGTATAAAAGGAAACCAGTTTAAAGTCATGGTACAAAAGGCATTGATATTGAAAGGTTCAGTGCAGTGCAAAATAAATAGATATGGTGCAAAATGCATTAGAACATTGAATTGTGTTCTACTTGAAGGGATTGTGAAAAAAAATCAAGCA